AAGATGAGAAGAAAAAGAAGAATAGAAGACTGATAATCCTTTACAGTCAGTCTCTAAAAAGAGAAAAACAAATTACGAAAAACACCATTTTTCCGCAAATCATACTGATAAGTACGTTTCTTTATTTGTTTTTCCTTTGTTTTTTTCCCTAATTTCTCTTCTTTGATTTTTGTAGTTTTTTAACGTATTTGTTTTTCCAAAAATAGCTACAGACACAGTCTCATTTTTTCTACTGAGCTTGAAAACAAAACTTTTTTTGCTTCTTTTATTACCCAATAATTTATAAAGTAGGTTTCCTCGCTATCTATCTATAACATCTTATCAGTACGGCAATTTTAGTCACCCAGTACGGCAGTTAGAAACAAAAAACACTTCAACACTTTTGCAAGAGCTCAATAATATTTTAAACATAGAAACAATAAAGAACAAAAAAAAAATAAAATAAAATAAAATAAAATAAAATAAAATAAAATAAACGTATAAACAAATTTTCTTGCATTTTTCAAATAAAATTTACACCATTTAGATACAGTTGCAGTGTTCAATATTCCGGCATTTGCCAGGTTTTTTTTTTACGCGCCTTAATAAAATCCACTCAATTCAGAATGAAACAATATTAAAACAACAATAACAACAAAAAATAAAATTATCAGGAAAATATGATGTTTGACCAACCAGTAAAAAAATTTGTATCATCCGCCTTGCGTCTGCTTCACAGCAATTTTTTCCGCTTTTGCACTCTGGCAAAAAATTTTTTCCAGTAAAATATTTTTAAAAAAATTGGCGAATTCAGCAGCAAATACTACAAGCTCCTTAATCCTCAAAATCAAAAGAAAAAAGGAAAGAAAATGAGTACTTACAGCACTGCCGATGCTTTTCATTCAGCTTTACTCTAACTGTTTTATGGTTCAAATGCAACCCTTATTTTATCCAACGGCCCCCTGTTTTTTTTCCTTCTTCCCTACAGTCCCCCGTTTATAAACAAAAGCTACTGCGTTTTTTTTTTTTTTTTGGAAGAGCAAAAGAAAACAAATTTGATGAGCACATTTTTTTATAATAACCGTCCGTGCTTGAACAGAGGCAGTCCACGTACAAAGACGGCATCGCTTGAGACAGATTGATTGTTCTAGTCGACGGGAATTCTTTTTCACATGTTAGAGAGCTATAAAGCTGCACCAAATTTTTTATAAAGTAAAGGCTTTGACAGGAAAACTTGCAAATGGCATTTCTCCAGTGAAACCGTAATCTACTAAAGAATAGTGCCCCTACTGCTGTCGTCGCTTGGAAGTAAATGGAATACATGATTAAATTATGGCAAGTGACGTTTGATGACTATATCGATTGTAAAGCTTTTCTTCCTTCACTTTCGGGAGAATCTTCATTGTTTTTTTAACGACTTGAGTGATGCTTTATTGTTCTAAGCAAGGCGTGAATTTCTACTAAGTGATTGAGGAGTTCGTTCGTCTTTGAAGGTTTGGGTAAGCAATCACTTCAGGGCTGAATTTTCAGAGCTTGAGAGTTTTGGGGGTTTTAAGGGAGTTCTTTCAGACAATTTAAAACTTATCTCTGTGCCTATTTCAAGCAGCTCTAATGTAAATAACGATTTCATTTAGAATAAAATTGCTCCACTTAATCAAAACTTCAAATCCTTGTCTTCGAAATTCTGTAGCCAATAGTCATATACCCAAGGCCTTCCTCAATGAAAAGGACGAAGGTGTGAAGGACTTTGGAAGTGGTTTGGAAATTTCAGTTTTTTGCCAAACAATTAAAAAATATCATTATCCGAGTTAGTAAGTTAAACTCTTTTGAAATAAAAAAAAATCTCAGTTTACTCGGCGATGTGCAGTGGCCTCAAAAAATTGTGGGTACAAGGAAGGCACCAAGAAATAAAGGCTTTATAAATGAAAATTGATTTTAAAAGAAAAAGTGAGGGGAACAGAGTTCAAACAGCAGTTTAATGGAAAATGGGAGAAAAAGGGTGCCATTGAGTAATTGTCATTCCAGTACCGTTTGACTTGAAATTACTGGACCTTAACAGATTAAGTGTGCAGAGTTTAACAGTTTTTTGAGGCTGCTGCAGCTTCTCAACTTCAAACGCATTGTTGGGGCCGTTCGGCAGAAGTAACTAAGTTCTGCTACTTCAGTTTTTTACTGAATATTTTTGCCTACATTCCGATGCATGCTTAATAGCCAGCGATGTTCCATTTAATGACTTTTGAAAAATTCAAATAAAGTCAAATTGAAAGCGGGAATTTGAAAATGTTCAGTCACGCAGCAGAAAATTTATTTTTCGCAACGGCAGGTTGTTGAATGTCCAACGGGGATTTGTTGCTGCTTTTTCAACTGCGCGTTCCTCAAAACGGAACGGAAAAATATGGTTCCACAAAATCGGCTTTTATATAATGGCGTTTCTACTTTATTCCGGGAACTCCATAAAAAATGAGAGAGCTGACCCATATATATAGTTTTCATTGCTCAAGTGTAATCAGACCGACATTCGGTAGGGACCCTGTCAACTTTGTTTCTGTAAACTTAAGGCAGTTTCTTTGGTGAAAGTAAACGGTTGGCTGTTGTTGGAGTCAGACTTCTAAGAAGCAAAAGTAAAATCTAATGCTTCTTATGTAAACCGATTTTATTTTTCAGATGCCAAACGGCTTTTTCACAAATTATTAAACTTTACAAAATGTGACCAATTTTCTCCTACTTCATTTATAAAACCAGATTCAACTGACGTAGGGCACAAAACACTTTTTGTTATGCGTAGCCAAGAGACTTGGTTCTAAAGTTACCAGTGATTCTGTTATTGAAGTTTTTACCGAGGTTTAAAGGTCGGATTAAAGCGTTTGTACGAAGAATACAGCGTTAGTGTCAGTTCGAAAGAGTTTTTGTGGAAAAAGAGATATCACGGTTCTAGGCTGATGTTTTTTTTTTGGAACTCAGAACAGATTTAGGAAGATAAAATTAGGTAAGTAGATTGTAGTGTAAAATTTTCTGCAGTCTTTCCTGGCTGTTTTCCTATATTAGAAGGGGTTTTGGGTACGGACAAAGTTGCTGCTCAGGGGAGGAGACGGCTTCTCGTATTTTTCTTGCTTACAAGATTATTTGGGTTGTGATATGTATGGTTTTTGTCTGAAGTCTGCCTCAACTGATTATAGTTTATAGTCAAAAAATTAGTCGATTGAAATAATTGGTGGTCACAGGTGTTGAAATTGTTGAGGTCGCTTTCTGTTAAAACTGTTTAGAAGTGCATTTAATTAAAAATCCGTCGTTTTTGATGCAGAAGCAGTAGAAACGTGATGGTAGTTTCAACTTTATCTGGGATACTTACGACCAAACCAACTTATTATTGAATCATGCATTTTTTTTGTTAAGCATTTTACTGGAGATGTTGAATAGCTGTAAGGAAAATTGGTTATTTAAGCCGTGAATGTGTGGTGTTAAAATAATCTTTGTTACAGGGCGCTCGTTTGCAAAGGTTGCCAAGGATTTTTGTTCTCTGGAGCCGTTGGATGATGTTGCGGTGTTTTTACGAAACATTTGATTAACCGCCATTAGTTCGTGTCTTCAATTTATCAATTTCAAGTTTATTAAGGGAAGCAGTTAAATATGAGGGGAGCTTTGTTGTCAAGGTGACAAGTGTCATCACCACTATTTTCGACGACTTAGCTGTCAGTTTTGGCGTTTACATTAGTATAAATAGCTGCATTTTTACATTACTTTTTTATTTCAGGTCGGCGTTTATTTAGAGCTTGCTAGGCTCCAGTCTTCAGGATTTAATCGTTCTCTAACATGTGGTTGAAATAAATCTTTTATCTCGGCTTAATTTTGACAACGTTTACGGGGAGAGAGATATACGCTGGTTATTGTAAGGTAAAAAAAAAAAATTTGCACTGAAATTTCCTACGGAATGTTTTTTTCCGTTGCCAAGCACTGTCTTAGAATTTTTAAAGTTGTCAACTTGTCTATTAAGTCCTGCTCCTTTGTTGCCAGAATTTTCTAAATATTTGAAATTTAGGATTAATATACAAAAAGGGAAATTATTTTTAAGTTTAGTTGATTTGTAAAAAGAGCAATTCAAGCTGAGTTTTGTTGCGAAAGTTTCTACGCTTTATTTTCTTACATTGCCAACTGCTATTGAGGACGTAGGATCTGGATCAATTTTTTCCTACTTTTTGCTTCCAGTGACAAACTTCTTCTGATTGCTTTTCAGCTGTAGTGAGTTACTGAAAAGGAATTTATTGGTTAAAATATTTAATTATTAGGTTTTCCAAAATGCATTAAAGAGCAGTATGTTTTTGATAACAATTAACGGGTTTATTAGCAAAAAAATAAAATTTTAAAAAGGTCCTAAATTGAAATTTCTTAAGTGAATTGCTGGTTTTTCTATCGTTACTATATTCCTATACCTTTCAAACAGAAATTTTGGAATATGTGTTTTGGAAAGAAGTTATCTGTTTGTCGAAATTTTGTGACTGTCCTTTGTGCGTTGCATTGTTAGTATGAAACTGTTTGGAAAATTGTTTCACTTTATCAGAATTTAGGTTTTAGGTAGTAACTTTGATCCTCGTTACAGTTTCTGTAATTTGTTTGCTTTTTGAAAATTTTGTTTATTGTCAGTTACTAGTTACAGTAAATTCTAAACAGTGAAGTTAAAAATGTTATTGTGCATTTTTTTCCAAATTTGCTTAAGCTTATTGATAACTAAGCAAAAAAAAAAGAAAAAAAAAGAAGTAACTGAGCATCTTTTTACGACATATTTTTCATATTTATGTCTTATATATTTGCTAGTTTTTTTTTTTTACTTACTCGGTTGGCAGAGAGTTATGAACTATAATTAAACTACTTTTGTTGAGAAAGAAGGACCTAAATGAGTAGTCCTTGTACTTATAACGTTTCAGAGTATGGAAAAAAATACAAAAATGTGAAATCACAGCTGGCCCTCTGGCTTCAAAAATTTGATTTAGAACGCCTTATTTGCAGGAATTAGTTTCTGGCTAATTATGGAAGAGTCATCTGTTCCTCTGCCACTTCCTACTTACAATATCTTTCGTTTGGCGAAGGAGGATCCACTTAGTTTCTCAATACTTTCTGCTGTTATAACAATAATAATCACAATTTTGATAAGGAAGTTTAGAAACAGGAGAGCAGCTGAAAGAACAGAAAGAAAGCTTGAACTTTCACAAGAAGGTACAGCATATCTTTGCCGCTTATCTGTGAAATTTATTTTCCAAAGAAAATGAAATTCCACTTTGGATTAATTAATGTACTGAATAACAGTTGCATCTGTTTGTCTGGTTAATAGCTCTCACAGGCATTTGATAAGAGATCCAGTTGATGTATATTAGAGTTACTTGGTGTCATGCTTCAGCACTTTTTTCGTTAGCACTTGCTCAGCAATGAAGGTGACAGCATTTTGCTTTTCCAGCTTCAGGTGATCATTCACTTCGTGATGGATGTTTCAATTATGATACCCTTAAGGGACTGAGACGCAAGGAAGTCAATGACTATTGTTCTACCAAGATTGGTATCGATGGCGAAGTAGAACCGTTGGTAAAATTTTATTATTAGCTGGTTTCGAGATTATTACTATGCTAAATAATGCTATTTTACCTGTTTTTTACAAGTTTTGCTCCAAAGGTTTTG